TCCTCTGAAAGTTTCATATGTCCATACTTTGAAAGTGATAAATCTTCTATTGATAGAGCTGCAGGGGGTTTTCATGGATGTGGTCACTGCGGTTTTCGTCTGTACATATGTGGTGTTTTGCTTCATTTTAGTATTAACTAGATCATAGTTTAATCCCATAAGACTTGGGGAGCCAGAACAAGCATTGCTTCATCCCTGTACAAAGTCATTCATTCAGCACCAGGGATAGCTGCATCATGGGCCCTAGCCCTGGCAGATGTGTTCTAGTCAGGGAGACAGCTATGAGACATGAGATACAATATTAAGTGTGAAGTGCTTTGGGATCATAGACTCCAGAAAAACTGGCTTTGCTTGGGTGACTTGAAGATCTTTACCGAGGAGGAACCTGAGGCTGCTGCATGTGACTGTGCATGTTCTGCCGTGGACAAAGGCACCTGGCCATGGATGGAGTAGAGATGAGAACAGTCCCTGCCTCACCACCCAGGCATACACTTTCATGGGGACGGGTGTCTACCTGGAGGCCACGCCCTTTGCTATTTCATAAAGGCATCATTGAAGTCGGGGTTGACCCAATGGCAACATTCCAGTTGGAGCTTAAAGAATGAATAGCTGTTTGTTGGGAAGAATTCTGGGCAATGAGGCTGTCATATAATCATGAAAGGACATGGCATATCTGAAGTCAGTGATAGGGATTTTATCCAGAAAAGTTTGGAAAGCTAACAATACTTTTGCAGTACGGGAGCACTTTCAGCCTTAGGCACCTAATTCTCTCAGGAGTGGAAGGTGAGGAGCAGATGGAGAGAAGACGGCCGCTTCCACTGCAGAACGAGGCTAGGGTGGAAGGGTAGGATAAGAGATGGAGGAACAGGCGGGCAGTAAGGTTACAGGGGTTATCAAAGGACTGGGGTTGACCTCAGGGCTTTAACATTGGTAATGAGGGTATAGATTTGGGTGTGTGTGGAGAGGTGATAAGTACTATTGAAAACTAATTTCAGGGTCTACTGGCAAGTAGGAAGGAGACAGGGCTGTAAATCAACTTTGTAAAGCATAAACGTACAAGATGTATACATGAAGCTATGGCTCGGAATAGGATCACGTGGAGTGGGCACCTGGTGAGAAGAAAAGAACCTGGCGCACTGGCTGACATTAGAAAAGCACTGTCGACTTCAAACAGTCTAAATAGGGTACCAGGGATGGGAGTCACAGAGTAATAGAATGAGGACTACGTAAGCTTTGAAGGAGATGGTGTTTTTCAACCCCGTACTAATTCAATAGAATTATCTGTGATTTTTTTTTTGGAAGGGTTTCAAAAATACTCTGAAGTTTTTAAAAGACTTCCTTTTTTTTTCTTTTTAAGTAACCAACTTTTTTAAAAAAAGTCCCATTTCAGCCACTATGGACCATTGTGTGGAGGTTACTCAGAACACTAAAAATGGATCTACCATATGATCCAGCATTTCTACTCCTAGGAATCTACCTAAAGCACACAAAATATTAATTTGAAAAGAAACCTGTACTCCTATGTTTATTCTGGCACTATTTACTGTGCCAACATAGGGAAACAACCCAAAGGCCCCCAATAGATGAGTGGACCAAAAGTTGTGGTATATTTTGATACAATGGAATATTACTCAATGATCAAAAAAGACAAACTCATACCATTTGCAGCAGCATGGATGAAGCTGGATGGGATTATGCTAGTGGAAATAACTCAAAAGGGAAAAGATCAATATTGATGATCTCACTTGTATGTGGAATGAGAGAAACCATACAGAAGGTCAAGGTACAGTCAACACTAGCTAGCTGACCAAAGATCTGAGACATTCAGCAAGGGAGGTGATGGAAGGAGGTCAGAGATGGGAGAGAAGAATACAAGGGAGGTTATGGTGGTGGGAGAACCATAAGGGCTACAACAGAGTAATTAAAAATGTAGTAAAAAGAATAGCTGCTAAAAAAATAAACTTAAAAGGATGCCATTGCCTGGATCCCATCCCTAGATATTCTGACATAACTGGTCATTAGTGGGACTGAGGAACAGTATTTTCTAAAATTCCTTAGACTTAAGAAACACTGCATCTGGTCATTCTTTTAAGAAGTATAAATAAAGGTCAACAGCTGACAAACATATGATGAGATGCACCAAATCACAGGGAGTCTGAGAAGTAAACAACTTTTACAACATGGAGAATCTCTGCAAAAATGAGAAAACGTAAGCATGCTAAGTATTAGTATAGATGAGGGGCATGGTAGGTCTTGAACGCTGCTAGAAGGTTGGGGGACTGGATCACTGGTTTGGGAGAGTAGCTTTGGTAAGTTAACTTGAGGTGCGTTCTAAGAACCAGCATTTCCCTGACTGGATACACAACTCAAAGTTTCCCATAGATCCACAAGGGACCATGTATGTCCTGTTGTAGTCATGGATCGGGTGAGAACTTGAGTGGACTTCAGTGGCACAATTGGATGTAATAGAATGGACATATCCCATAGAATATTATGTAGCCAGCAGAAGTAATAGACTAGAAAATACACCTATCAACCTGGATTCCTTAGTGAAAACATTATAAACAATAAGAAATTTGATAATATGATTCAAAGGCCAGTATATTAATAAAACCAACAGCAATCTGTATTTTGGAAAAACATTTTTTTACAAAAAGACTGAACCATTGAAGTAATTGCTTACCTATGAGAAAAGAAGGAAGGAGAAAGAGTGACGTGTTTTGTAACTGTTGTCCCAAGAAAGAATGAGAACAGATAGAAACCTAAATGGAAACAGAAGTCAAGAGAAGACTGGGTGGATGTGTTTTAATGAAGCAGCGTCATAAATGTGAAGCAGCGTCATAAATGTGAAGACATGGAAGACTCCCTGGTGTTCTCACGTGGCCTTTTTATTCACAGTGTTAGTGATCAATAGCTCAAGGTTTTATAAGAGTGGAATCCCTTTTGCTGCCCCCCACCCAAACCTGATTTTCTTTCGCTCTTTACTAAAGCAGTTTACCCTCTTTACAGACAAACCAGAAAACTAATAAGCAAAAATAAGTTAGAAGCCTATTCACTCAGAGACCATATCCATGTACTTTTCTATGAACATGTAAGATTCAGCGAAAGCTTCTCATAACCTGAAAGTGGTATGTGGCGACAGGATATTGTGAACTGCTCTTGTGGCTACAGAACCTCGATCAAATTCACTGTCAGTGGCTGCATGGTGCCCGTTGCACAGATGCACACTCAGGCTTGTGGCCAACCCCTTCTGCTGAACAGCCACTGCATCTTGGTTTTGCTACTACCAGTGCTACAGTGAATAAACATAGCTACTACCTCTAAAGACAATTCCTACCTTTCATTTGACTCATTCTTAAAGGAGGATTAGGGGTTGGAATGCCATAAAAATTCAAAGTCAGAGTACCAGATCCCCTAGTAACAGTACTGGGGCCAGTCATAAAAGAGAAGGAACAGAGTGACTCCCTACTGTTTGGAAATAGTCATTTTGAGTAGTTGTCATGGTGCCGAAATCCAGTGTGGGCTCCCAGAATTCTGTACTTTACCTAGCTGATAACGTGCAGAGAGCCACTGTGGGGTGCATCACCTCACATGTGATTATGATGTGGGCAAGTGGGGAGATAGGTGGCAAGTTTTTAGAAAAGTACAAGGAAATGTTGATGCTAAAGGACCCAAGTTGCTTCTTCAATTTCTACTCAGTGCCAGAATAGGGAACAGAAAAGCAAGCCAAGGAGATGCAGAATATACTTTTCTAAGTCCTTCTACAACCCCTCCTTAGACTCCCAAACTAGTGGTTTTGCAGATTGAACTTAATCCTTTGCGTGAGTAGGTTTAAGCATCAGAAACCCAGTGCCTGTGTTTACTCAGACCTGTGAGTGCAGAACTGGCCAGGCAGCTGTGCAACTGGCTCTGAAGCCCAAAGAAGCAGCACTGACTCAGACGGCCACCTGCGTGGAAGGAATGCACTAACATCTTCCTGTCATTAGAGAAACACTTGGTGGGCAGGAAAGACACTTTGGTCTCAAACCAACCTTTTGTAGCCAAGAAGTTTTGACTAGACATAGCTGTTCTCAGGGCATGTTTTGAAGCCCTTGAGTGTGTTCTCCAGCCGGTATACTTGTTAACATGTAGCTGTGTTCCAGAGAATTAGCGCCGGGCAGCACTGCTTTGGCACACGAGGTAGGCGTCCACACGAGTTAGAGCCAACAGGCAAGGGCAGCCCAAGCTATACAAAAATCCCCTCAGTGGCCCTGCTTAAAAATAGCCGTGTAGGCCATAGCTTAGTGTTTTGACAGCTTGTATCAGCAGTTTTCTCGGCTGATATATTGATTGCAGTTTGGACTCCAGTCCTGCTGATCTAATAAAACATCACCGTCATAACAGAGAAAGTAAAAGGATCTTTTCTGTTCCCAGCCACCTGGTAAAGCAGCTCTACCGAGCTGCTCTAACGCTGGCTTCCTGGTGTATGGAAAATGACGACTTGCACAAGCTGACTCATTATATCATTTTTGAGTTTAATCTTTTGACTTATCTGGGTGTCATTTATGAACGTTTATCCACTGTGCTAGTTCCAAGACAGTGGCACTTTCAGAAAATAAGAAACAAGTTTCTGTGCTTTGGTCTCACAAACAGCCTGATAACGTGTCACATCCCTTAGTACTTGCTATAGAGTGAGAAGGTGAGGATGTAGCGTGCACAAACAAGGCCACAAAATGCGGATTCAACTTGTAAGATGTAAAAGTCTTCTATATTCAATGCGCTAATGTTTATTAAAATATACGCAGCAGCAAGAATAAAACCAATAGTATTAGAAGCACCAAAGGACCATGTTCACGTTACGTAGAGTTGAGTTTGGATTTCTATGCATTAAAATTTTTCTGTAAAATAACTAATCAAGCTGCTATAAGTCTTGATAATTCTGATGAAACATTGAATGTTTGGACCATTACCCTCACTTGGCGTTCAGTCCTCCTTAGCCTAAGTGTTCTTTAACTTCACAGCAACTGCTGACCATCCAGGAGGAGTTAAACAACAAGAAGTCAGAATTGGAACAAGCGAAAGAGGAGCAGTCACACACACAAGCATTGCTTAAAGTCCTCCAGGAACAAGTAAGTGTGGGGAACCCTTTTTGTAGATGAGCTCAGACACCTCGCCCTCCCTCCTGCTGGACTTGCACAGACATTCCTGAATTTCAGCAAAGTACAACTAGCCACCTACCCTGCCCAGCCTCCAAGTAGCTTTGCTGTGTGGGAATTATCTCATTCCCAGCATCTCTGTTCTCTTGTCCCTCTTTAGAACCCCCGGGTCTGCCAGCAGTGTGTGAAAAGTTTCTTCCAGAAGATAAATGGATTTTAGTAACGTTGTAAAACATTAGCAACGCAGAAATAATTCCGAGCAAACAGGTAGTTTCAAGTCTAACTGTGACGAAAGTGAGATTAGCATAACCCATGGTATGCTTGCTGACATTGGAATACGAGGTACTGATTCTCGGGGGGGGGGGGACCCCTTCTCTGCGCATCAGGCAGTTATCTCACCGCAGTGAGCAACAAACCTTTTATATGAAGTTTGTAAATCTGATCGTTTCATCCCAGTTTCCTTTGATACTGAAGTGTGGCCTGACATTGATAAGTGGATTTGAGAGTATTGTCTTACAGCGAGGCAAGATGGATGGCTTAGCAGCCTAGAGAAATCTAAGCCCTGTATCTACAAAGGCGAAGATGGGAGAGCTCTTCGAATGGTTTCCTCCTTCCAACCCGCACTTGCTGCCCACAATATTTTGAATATTATTTGGGAGGGGAAATTATCACATGTGATCACCCCCACCCTTTGGGAGTCATCAAAAGTAGGTCTAAAATTTGCCACTCACAATGGTTTATGAATAGTTTATTTGTACAATATAAATACTTTCAAATGATGTATTTTTAAAAATGTCAAGTTGGGAGTTTATAGCCCTAGTCAATGTAACTCAGTTATTTTATAGGTGATTTATGTTTTTGAATATGTTTGGGATCTAGAAAATAGACTTCCCCTAAAAGTTGAAGTGATTTGTGAGGGAAAAGTGAATATATTGGATATTTATAAACTTTTGTAGCTTTGGAGGAAAATGCTTTATAATATTAATCATTATATTTATATAGCCAATATATGTAGTTAATATAGATTCAGTTGCTCAGACTGAGGCTGAATCTGTATGGTTTGGGATAAGTTAGATTGAATTGAAAAATATTGACTAAATTCACAGTAACCTTCTTTCTAGGGTATTGAAATCTGTTTTGTCCTTCCATACACTTTATTAGAAGACTGGTTTGGGCCGAATATTTAACTTCTGATGAAGTAGACATAACTCTGAGCTTCTCTCTCTCTCTCTCAAAAATCCACTCTCTCCTTCAAACTTTATGCATTTATTTCCCACCATGAAGACTTTGTTAGTCTGGGGGAAAAAGAAAAAAAAAAGATATAGAAGATGCTGCTTCCTAAGCATAATAAGCAGGAAAATATATGGGCAAATAGATTCCAGGCCTACTCCCCCTTTGCCTTGCGCTATGCCCCCCAAATGTCTGTGTTGAGCCTAGCTAGGATAAAATGCCAATTAAAGGTTTGTGGAAATCTCCTGATAACTGATTACTCCTAAGCCTTTGGAGAGAAAGTAGAGGGAGTAGAGCTTTCAAATGTTCACTGTTAAAAATCTCATTTGAGGAATAGCTTTACTTCTAATGCCTCAGCAGCTAAGGAGATGTCTTTCCGAATCTTCCTTTACAAAAAAGAAGAAAATCATAATCTTTTTTTAGGCCTCTAGAAACAATGTCAGTCATTCAAATCTGTTCTCAAGGAGACCATGTACGATAGCACCACAGCATATTAAAACAACTGAAAAGCTATCGTTCACCAGTATCGTTAGTGTAACATCATTTAGCTGGTGGCAACTTGCGAACACTGCAAAGTTGAAATTAATAGCAATACAACAAGGAAATGAAATCATTTATTATTCTTAGGAACCAACTATACATTTTATGCCTATGGTACTGCTTTCTAATCTTATTATTTTAAAAAATAATGATCAAGGCCCATTTTTTTTTCCCAGACACCAAGTTTTATAAAATACAGTGTCAAACTGTTTTCCATGAGATTCATTAGAATTACATCTTTTTTTTTTCTTTTTTTTTATCAAGGAAGTTTTATAAAGTGCAACCTCAGAGAAATCCGAGTTAACAGGGTGCTAGTAACAAATATGCTTGCTTACTGATTTGGGTTTTCTTTTTTTTTTGCAGCTAAAAGGCACCAAGGAATTGGTTGAGACAAATGGTCACAGCCACGAGGACACAAATGTAGGTATCACTTGCCTGGCATTTGCTTTTTTGTTTGTTTTGTTTGTTTTTTGTTTGTTTGTTTGTTTGTTTTGCTTGATGTTGGTTGAATGCCCTCAGGTCTGTGAGGCTTTCTAACAAAAAGAAAATAATCCCTGCCACTCAGTGGTTTATTGAGATGACTGAGTGGCTGCAATAAAATATGATAGTCAGTTACTGCTGTCATTAGCTCAGGTTACACAGTGTGCTTCGGTTAATCTCTGCCATACAAATTCTGAGCTCCACGAATTTTATATTTTCAAACCTATAATGATACTTGTTGGCAGGACAAATGGAAGGTGACCCATCAGGGTAATACGTTGTGTACTGCATGTATATTTACTTCTTGCCTCTCAATGAAGTTAGTAATGGAATAACTGCTATGCACAAGAGGTTTCAGAGCAAAGCCCTTCTTCCAGAAAGTCCAGGAAAGTGGACCTCGCTTCTGTTTCTGACCCAGAGCAGTGGCAGGGTTGGTGACCTTGCATCTTGACAGAGAATCCCAGCAAGATCCTGGTAGTGTGACCTGGCTTCTCTCTGAGTGTTCTTGTTGAACCACCTGCCCCAAATTAGGCAAACGTCCCTTTGCTTGGAAGTTCTTTACTATCGGGTTGGATGTTATGCCATGTAGTGATCTACATCACCGTCTCCCCATATGTTTGATGGTTATTTTTGCCGTTCAAAACTGTCTCTGCTATCTGGATATATTTGATTGGCCTCATCACACAGAATGCTTACTAAGCACCTCTTTTCATATAACATGGAATCAAACATGGTGATGAATGCCTGATTAAGCAAGAGCTAAGAGAAATTAATGCATCTTGTGTTCTCTTGCTTTAATTACGTGAAGCAGAGAGCCTGACATTCAGACTACCCAAAAATTCCGCTTAGTAATTTCTGTTCCTACCAAAGAGATATTTAGCGTTTGAACTTTATTGAGAAACTTCTGTGTACATGGAGCTCTGCTAAGAAATGTAAGGTGCGCTGCCTTCCCTCAAAGAACTTACAGTCCTGTTGAAGAATTAAGGACCATGTGGGCAATACACGAGATGGTGAGTAGATGCGGATCTGAGGCAGCATGACGTGATGTGGCTTGAAATAAAACTTTGGTAGTTATTAACCCAATGAGCTTTATTTGTCTCATTTGTAAAACAAAGCCTGCCTCAAAAACTTAAGATGGTGTACAAAGCTAAGACAGGAGAAAACCTCACATGCTATTATTGTGGTCTCATTGTGCAAGATAAATTAACAGGGGCTTTCTGGATGTGTGGATTTTTGTTGACTTTGAAACTAGAAAGCTGGAAATCATTCAAACAGCATCTATCAGCAATCGCATGCCCTACGTGGAGCTTGTCTTCCCATTCCAATATTTTATCATCCACATCTTTAACCTAAAACCCCTGTCCGGGGTTGTCTCCCAGAGACATGTTGCTCCCACATTCACAACCAGAGTTCTCATACGTGCCCCCTTGGAAATTTGTCCTTCTTTGCCTTCCCAGGAAGCTGCTGTCTAAATCAGTAAGCCAGAAAAAGTGGCAGTTCTTAATTTCCTGGTCTGTAAAATAAGGATGGTATTACCTACTTTTTCTTCTTTCAAGTCCATTGTGAGACACAAATGAGATCACAGATGTGGGTGAAGTTTGTAGTTGCAAGGATCTATCTGATTGGGCTGTTATGTTTATGAACTCATCTATTGACTGAGTCAAGTCAGGTGTTATACACAAGACAAGCCTAACACCGTATCTGGTCCATAGGCCCTTTGAGACATGGCTAAAGGCATTTACTATTACATGGAAAAAGTGAAAGGATATCTTGTGTCCTTTTTAGAGAAAACATTTAGCTTTACAGATAAAACTCTATTTTTTATACTTTAATTTTCTTACTGAAGTAACATTGCATTATGACATCATGGATGTTTTTGGTATGCACTATTAAATATCAATGTCTATATATACATTAAATTTACCACTTAATTCTAACTCAATCCTCCCCCCTTCCCACAGGTAAACTTTAATTTGCCTATAGTCTAAAAGTTTTATTTCATTTGTTTCATCTCTTTGTATACCACAAATGAGTGCAGTTATACAGTGTTTGTCTTTTACCATATGACTTACTTCATATGGTAATGCCTAATACCGTCTAGATCTATGTTGCAAATGACAGGAATTTATCTTTTTAATCACTGAGTAGTATTCCATGTTTGTAACTATATGATACATCTTCATTCAGTCATTTGTTGTGGAACACATAAGTTGTTTGCAGCTCTCAGGTATTGTAAATAATTCTACAGTGAACATTAATGACTAATATTTCTTGGAAAATTAGTATTATCTGATTCACAGGATCTACTTCATCTACTTCTAACAGTATTTAAGGAATGCTGTTCTCACAGTTGTACCTATTTATATGCCCATTGATATTGTACTAGACTTCCTTTGTCTCCACACCTTCTCCAATACTTGTTTCTTGTCTTTTAAGTAATTCCCTCCTCCCATGTGAGGTGACATTTTATTATTGTCTTCATTTATATTTTCATATAAATATGGTATTTTGAGCATCTTTTCAGGTTTGTCTGCTGGCCATCTATGTATTTTCTTTGGAGAAGGGCCTATTCAGATCCTCTCATTTTTTAATTGGATGGCTTGTCTTTTTGTTGTTGAGTTACATGAGGTTTTTATATATTTTTGGATATGGACCCCTTGCTGGATATGATTTGCAAATATCTTCTCCCACTCTTTAGGATGGCTTCTCATTTTGATAATTTCTTTTGCTGTGTAGAAGCAACTGATAGCAGTTGCAGTCAAATCTGTATTGGTTTCAGTTATATTGCTGTTATAATAATGTTAATTCTTCCAATCCATGAGTATGGACTAGCTTTCCATTTCTTTGTATGTTTATTTGAACAATGCCTGGTGATTTGCAATATGCCGGTCTTCCATCTCCTTGGTTAAAGTTATTCTGAGCTATTTATTTTTCATGTGGATGTAAATGGGATTGCTTTTCTATTTCTCTTTTTGATGGCTAATTATTTACTTATAGAAATGGTACATATTAATTTTTTGGTCTGGCAAAGTAGTGCTTTGGACAGGGTGAATTTTAAAGCAGTTCACAAGGTTTAAGTCCTCTGGCTCAGAAGTTATTGACTGAGAAATACAGATTTTTGTTGTTGTTGTTGTTGTTATATAACATCACATAAGGGGCAGGCACTTTAGATATTAACACCAGTTAATAATTATATAGTAGAATGGTGCTGCCTTACCTGGGTATTTTTGTGACACTTGATAATTGCTTCTTAAGATCATATGTTATTAGCAAAAGTAAAGTGGAAACGTTTGACTAAAATTGGAAAATTTTTAAAAATACAGAAGAAAAATAAGTTAGTCTCTTTTTGTTCAAAGAAAGCTGCTATTAATATTTTATTTTAGTTCTTTCCAGTCTTGTGTGTGTATATGGCCAGAGGGGGAAAACTTATAAATAAATGAATAAATGTTATCGTATTATCTTCAGTTTTGTACCTCTTGAATTTTCATGATGATATAGGTATTTTTTCTCATCCTCCAAATGTTTTTTAAAGACATGATTCCTACATATTGTAAATAAGAATTAATTCAACAACATGCCTATGTTTCAGGCATTTAACTTTCCAATTTTTTTAGTATTATAAATAATGCCCATAAATATTACTCTGTAACTTTTGTATTTGTTTCTGGGGGATTCTGTATATTAATAGTGGTGTCATGAAGTCTGGCAGGAACTTCAGAGTTACAGAATTGGTTGGCAGTCAGAATGTTCACGTGAAGGAGATACACTGAATGTTTTCATTAGTCCTCCTGAAGAGATCCATAAAAGATAGGGCTAGTCTCTCAATTTACTCTTGCTTTGTTCTCAAGTGTTATCTGTCTTATAGGATACTAACCACACTAAGATTTGATCTGTTTGTATGACTTTCTATTGTTAATATGTTGTATCGAACAGCACCCATATTTGGCCAACACCCTATTTGTTATATTTGAGCTCCACTTAGAAAGCTCATCCCTGCCCCCATATCACTAGGTCTGCACGCTCATGTCCCTGAGAAGAATTTTCTAGAAGCTAAATTAAAATTAGTAGAGCCAGCAACTGAGATCCACTACAAATGCCTTCCTTTCCAGTGGCAACTGCTGATTTTAAATAGAGTTCTCTTTGATTTGGAACTGGCTCTGTTAATGACAGCAAGGCAGTCCCACCTTTGAAGTGTACCCAAGTTTAAAACTAGCCTTTAGCATAGTTCCTCTAGCAATTTCAACTATTCCAGACCCAATTTTGTCTCCTGATAAGCAAAGTTAAGAATTTCCTTTTAGTCTCTGTTCCTAATCCTTGGAATTGCTGGATAGCTAGTTGAGTCACTGGTAATTAGGTAGAACAGACATCAAAATCTCAAAATTTAGAAAAAAAAATAATCTGTTCTCCTCTTTTATCTTTTCTGATGACCCTTTTTCCTATAGGTATCACCACCTTCCATGTCAACACTTACTGAGAAAGTGGACGGCAAGGGAGAGGGCTTGAGTAATGTAGAAACAAGTTGGGAGGAATGAAATAAAGGGGAAGCTGAAGCCTGCCATTTATGCAACAGTTTAGATAAAAAAGTTTTCCCTCCAATCCATGTTTGTGATGTAGAAAAACTGCTGGCAGACACCCTCTGTGGGCGCCTTTACGCATACATAGTGGACTAGGAAAAATCATTTGCAATCAGTAAAGAGGTTTAATTTGTGATACTGAAGGTTACTGCTTGTCAAGTAGAACACTTCTCCCACCCAACAATAAAACAGAAACACAAAAGAGGAACGACTTTTCCGTTTTTCACCTCACCTCCGTAACAAAGTAAATCCTCTGAGTTGTCTTTAAATCTGTCAAGAGTAAAGATGTTGGGAATGTATGGAAGAGATACTGTGTGAAGAACATTCTTCAAGTTTAGTACACCACCCCAGAAAGCTATTGTTCAC